CCCACACCCCACCCCACCCCACCCCACCCCTGCTGCTGCTGCTGCTGATGTGGGAGTTGGGTGGCAGCAGGGAACGGAAGGAGAAGAGCAGCGAGGGGGGACTCCAGGGCAGACCCTGGCTCGTCCTCCCTGCCCACCCCCTGCCGCCCCTGGAAGGGCCTCGCTGACTGAGGTCTGGCCCCCGCCCCTGGCCTCAGGGACTCCCGGCCCGGCCCGGCCCAGCAGCAGCAGCGGGCAGTCCGTCACCTTCTTCCAAGGCTTCCCGTTGCGGCTTCGAAAGGGCCCGCCTGGGCCTGCGCCTCTGGCCCCTCCTGGCTCCCTCCGGCGGAGTCCCCCGGGAGAAGCCCTCGGAACAACGCCCCGCCCCCAGCAAGGGCAGGCCGCCTGCGGAGAGGAAGGAAGGCGACAACGGGGCAGGGGCTGAGCCACCCTTGGGACCCCGGCCGGGCCGGCCGGGCAGCCGGGATCAAAGGCACCTCTGCTTGAATCCCGAACAGAAAACAGACAGCGAAGCCACGGGGAAGCCAAGCCAACCAACCCACCCCCTCCCCAGGCCCCCTCCCCAGAAAGGGCCCCTTTCACAGCCCCTCTAAAACGCTGCGTGCGTGTGCGCGTGCGCGTGTGCGTGTGCGTGTGCCTCTGGAGAGGGGGGGGGCTCCATTCTTCTGGGAGGTCACGGAGCAGATGCAGCTCGGGAACACGCCCAGGAGTGGTCGGTGGCTGGCCTCGCCTCCGAGTGCCTGTGCGCGCGTGTGTGTGTGCGGGGGAATAGCCAAAAGTCAGGCTGTGCCAAGGGGCTCCATCTTGAACCCGCTCCCAGGAAGGCTGTGCCAAGGGGCTCCATCTTGAACCCGTTCCCACGAAAAGAAATGTTGAGGCTCTTTTGTAAATATAGGATTGACCCGTAATGATGCCCCCTTTGGGGTCTTTTTCTGGTTGCTCCGTCTGTAACTTTCCATCTACTGATGGTTCCCAATTATCTGGTCCTTCTGTGATTTATCTGTAGTTACTAAAGGTTTACTTGATTCGTGACCTGGGGTATAAACAGACGGCTTTTAGAAAATCCTACCCATGAGGCTGGAAACTGCTGGGCGGGTTACACGGACCAAACTCTGCCAGGTCTGAAGGGGGAGAGCACCTTCCCTCCCCCCCCCCACCCCCCACCCCAAAAGCCTTTGGTGCCCCCA